AACACACCCAACCAACCGCGCTTATAGTGATCAACCGCGCTTATAGTGATCAACCGCGCTCACTGCGAGCGTATATGTAGACTCGTATGTAGACTTAGTGACCACAAGAGACCCACCACAGCTAAAACCCAAATAGTTTACCGACAATAACCACCACAACAAGATCGATCTTGTATCTTTATAAAGTGTGCATTGGATGATGAGTAAATTGTATAGATTGCAAATTGATATCATTTTTCATTTAAGCGATAACATGTGAAATCGTCAGTCACGTAGTGAAGGTAGTGTAATAAACTAAAAATAAAACATCACAAAAAAAAAATGAATACATATATAAAAAAAAAATATTTTTAAGTTATAAAAATATGAATTACGTTTACTTTTTTGAGTTTCTTTTGATAGATTGCGCTATATATTGATGCGACTTGATAGCTTAGCTGAAATCCGCCACTGCATCACTTGTTAAAAGTGTAAATTGAGTTTCAAGTTTCGATCTCGTTAATATTCTAGGCATTTGTGGTAAGCGCGCAAATGTAATTGCCTCACTGTTATAAAAAAAAAAAAAAGGAAAGAAAAAAAACAGCGAAGCAATAAAAACGCGACACCGATACGATGAGGCAATTCATATCACGTATACGCCCGGGTATTTTATAGCGATCATGTTAAGCATCATGTCATAGCTCCCGTCCTTCTTCATGCTCCATACTCCACACTACTTAGCTTAACTAAGCGACGCTGTACTCGTTTAAAGCGGTTGATACGATTTCATGAATTAACATTTTCAACTATTGCAAGCCAATAAAATCGATCAGTTCGATCAAAGTCGATCTTATACGTTGCCATGCAACTTGCAATTTACTGGCAGGCAGTGCCAGTCATACCAGACTCAGTGTCGTCGCTGTTGCTTGATTCTATAATTCACTTTATTTTTCATGATTTTACGGATTTTTCACATTTTATTAGATACGCTATTTTAGTAGCGCTGCCTTTTATTGCCGTTTGCCGTTTGCCGTATGCCGTTTGTCGAGCTGATAAGCACTTCAGATACTCTTTTAAAGTGCCTTCTAATTACACTTGTCATTTGAAATGCAGTCTTCATTATGTAGTTAAGACTTTTTAAATACTAGACAAATCTCTAGGATTTAGTAGCGTTTTTCTTGCCAATATAGATAAATGTGAGCACGGGTGTGACTAGCGAAAATTTGTTTGCTTAATTTTTGAAATATTTTTAATTAAATTAAGTATAATATATATGAAGAATTTTTGCTAATATAAAAATATTAAGCTTATTTATTATTATCTCCATACCGAAACGCCCACAATTGTGATACAAACGAAGAAGGTATTTTGAATATACGTAATTCATAGAGATTTATATTTTATTATATTACATACTTTGATAAGAATAATTACTTAATAATAATTGAGAAAAACAACTGTAAGCATGTTTTTATTTTGTTTATGTAGTTAATTTTAGTTTTTAAATATTTTTAATTTAATTTAAACAGTATGACGTAGTATTTAAAGCAAATTTTTAATTAAGTAAAAATTTATTAACTTGCTGTGTTTATAATAAAATTCCTAGAGTTTTATTACATATTTATTTTTGACTATAAACATTTTTGAGTGCAAGCTTAGATAATTTTAGAATTTTATCTGAGAAATTAAAATACTTTTTGTTAACTTTTGAGATAATTATTGCATATTATATATATATGTGATATAAGCATATTACGTCTTCAAAGTGTATTGGGCCTTCGAAGTGGCTTTATAGAGTGACGGAAAATATTGACATTGAAATAAATATTTTTTCTCACTTATAATAAAATATAAAATACAATTGTACTACAATAGTTATCTAATATTTTAACACTTAATATATAATACTTTTTATTATAATATAAATCTTTTATAGTTCTTATTACTATTGCCGATAAACTACGTTTTCTTTTAATGACAAAGAAGCTATTTTTTAAAATTTAGAGGATTTTCGAATAGCAAAAAAAGAAAGGACAAACATTCCAAATAAATCATTTATTTCTATTAAAAAAAATGTTTATCATTCAATTCATGCAGCGATAAAAGATTTATTATTTCCTATATATGTACATTCAAACTACCATAACTCGTACTTCTATAAATCGAATTTTCTATAACTCAAACTAAATAGAGAGCAGCAACAGAGTTTAGAGCGCAAATTACATGCAATTACAAAAAATTTCTTTAACTCAAAGTCTGCATAAGTCGAACCTTTGCTTTGCAAAACGGTACTTTGAGTTATGGATATACTAAATATATACTAAATATATACTAAATACAATAGTATATTTACAAAGCAAAAAATGCACCTGTAGGGTTCTAATGAATACGGGGTGCATCCCACAAATAAAGGTACAAGTCATAAAAATTTTAATATTATAAAACTTTTATACGAGTATTCATTATTTACAGTAGTTAAGAGCGTTTTTACTCTTACATGAGCCACAGTAGAAATAATTGATCCATAGTAGAAATAATTATAGTTACTAACAACTCAACTACGAAGGTTGACAATAACATATTTATATATTTAAAGAACAATATTATAAACTTAATTAGTGAGAGACAATGATTCGATAAGAAAATATATAGTAAAACCGGTTTTAGCTAAATATACGTTTAGTAAGTAATTTGTTGTAGCTCAGAGACCTTTGATAATGAAATGAAATAGACTGATTCTTCTTTCATATGTTTAAATATATTCTACATAAGTAATGTCAAACTAATCGCGTTTTTGATTGGTAAATTTGGATTCAACATATCGAGATTAACTCTCGATTTGTCAAATTTTGTTGCCCACGCGAACATTTTTAGAGTAATCTTATATTTTTTTAGTAGTGTTGGTAGATTTTTTTTATTTTTTTTTAAACAGCTGATAATTTCAATATAATCTAGCTACTCTAGCAAAATATCTAGAGTGTTATAAATTAATCTCGAATGTTATATACTTTGCTCCAGTTTTACCAATCGATAATAAAATTGCACTAAAAATGCTAGATAAAAAATTACTCTAGATTTAGCCATTAGTTTATGAATTGTATAATCCTACTAAAATTGGCTATCAGTATTGGAATAACTCTAACATAATGTTTTGAACCATTACCTTTGTGATGGTATTTTTTAATATCAGACACACCATCCTAATAAATTTATTGTATTGTATCTATATTCATATATATATGAATATAGATTACATATATGTTATATACTTTTATATACTTGTATATATTATAATATAAAATATACGCTTCATCACATGTCTCAAGTGAACAATAATATATGCACAATATATTAATTAAAATTAATAAACTATAGTTTGAGACACACATATGTATGTATATACTATTTCAGTTGATTATTAACTTGAAATAGTACTTCTGTAA